TCACAGCAATGGAAGAAATTCAGGCTCTTATGTGCTGAACCTTTAACATTAACATGTCCCATTTTACTCATTCCATGAAAAGATACCATCAGAACACCAGATGTCATTTTTAAGAACAAACCAAAGCTTTCAACAGTTTGCAGATCAATAATACATAATAGTTATGTTTCTAAATCATAAATGATGATATTTTGTAGCAATTATATGAATCACGGATAACAACTATTTTCAGTTTCTTCGACTAAAAATACTCACTCTATCAAAAATATAAGAGAGCTCGCGTGAATTGACAGGCAAGAAGTTTCTTTAAAGGTATTAACATTTATTTACAGATATCGTTAAATTATTTACAATAAAACCACTTCACTATAAGCTAACTTCTTTTCTAAAAATTTTTAGCTGACTGCACTAATCACAATATTTCTCTTGCGAAAAACTAAAGCACTGCCACTCATTTCCAAACAAAGTATGAATTGAGTTAATTCACTTATTATAGGGGGCACAACAACTATAAATCTTGGTGCATGCACTTATGGTGATGGTATGTTTAATGTCATTATGCTCTTGACTCATCAAAAAGGCATTAAAAAGGTCACAACTTCAACAAAGAATTCAAAACCAAATTTATTTAACATTTTAAAAGGAAAAAATGCATCTCCTACATATTTAAAATGAATATAATTCCGAGCCGAAGTTAAACATCGACTATGAACAGATGAGAAATGAGTCTCTTAGCAAAAAAACTTCAAGCTTTTGTCCTCGTGCTCATTGCACATCAAAAGAGAATGTTCTGCCATATTCTGATATTTTATCCATTCTTCACATTTCCTCGCATTTCCATTTGTATCACTAAGGTTTTGGATAGAACCCATATTTGAAAAAGAAATTGAATGCAACATCCCCACCTAACAAGGAGTGCAGAATCCTTGTGATGTCAATACTTTGTGATGGCATTTGCATCATCAAAAGTAATTTGATTATTATTTCCATTGTTTAGATGTCTTGCTTCTTTCTTTGGCAAGCCTGTTTGCAATGCCATTTCCAGGAATGCCACCATGAGCAGACATCCACTGCAGAATGCAAATCTAGTTTTTTGGGAAGAAAAAAAAGTCAAAAGAAGACAAGTTTGAAGAACTTGCAGGACTTTTGGGTACACATACTTATTTTCGGAACACAAGCTGTTCTCTGATTGGTTATTGAATAATGAAAAGATGCATTGTCATGCAATACAAAACATTTGGAATACATTTTCTGACTGAATAACGTAAGATTATGAAGCAGAAGTCATCTGCTTAATTCCCAGTTATTTACAAGTCAACTACTCGGGCAACTGCAGAATCGTTTTAATCCTAAGCTTGTTTGTTAAGACAAACCTAATACAGTTAAGAGTCTTAAATCTGGACGTCCATAATCCGGACCTCAAAGCTACAAACTTTCTGCGCATGCATAAATGCGTAATGCATTTACGCATGCACATATGCGTTTACACATGCACGTACTACCTTTACGCATGCACGTTTAATGAATAACTGATGGTATAAGCTAAGCTAAAATTATCTAATTATCTATTTCAGCTAATGTTGCACATTGCGTTGTTCCTTAATCTTCTAATTGGATCCAGCTTATTATTTTTTGCAGACTGTTAGAGCAATTTTATAAAAGTAAGCTTGAACTTTCGATTATGTCAAAATGAATTTCCGATTCTGGAGCTGCCAAAGGATCTACAAAGCGAAAGCATGTTCCGATGTCCATCAAAGAAAAAGTGGAATTGCTGCAAAAAATAAATAAAGGTATATCCTTTGTTTCTCTAACCATTCCGAAATCTGTTTATTAATTTCACGCTGCTCTGTGGAAGGGGGGACATTGCGGCGCGCAATGAACTGGAAGTTGATCTGTCAGCACTATCCTTATCTTCAGGGCAGATGTTTTTATTTTATTTGGCTTATAATTCCTTACTAAATGTAGTATTTCATCTCGATGTACTCTGTCTTTGATATGATTTAAATCAAATTCCTCGTCATTACAAATATCACGAATACACATCAAATAGTTTTCTGGTTGCAATTTTCTAATTTCGACTTTACGTAATGTATGCTTTATGCATGCGCGTATTGAAAGAAATGTTTAATAAAGTAAACAAATAAATATTAAGCTTTTTTTTTTTTTTTTTTTTTTTTTTTGTAAAATTTGATACCCTTTAGATCATAATTGCTCTTTATTTCATAAAATAAGGTTTCATATTTTTAATTTTATAATTTCTGTATGCCATCTTACCAGATTTAAATTGATGATCTATAATCCGGAAAAACCGATAATCCGGAATCGCCGAAGTCCCGACGAGTCCGGATTAAAGACTTTTGACTGTATCACTAAATTTAAACACTTTTTTAATCTTCTGAGAACATTCTTTCTTTAGCTCATATTCCAAGAATATTAAGTGAATACAATTATGGCAAAAGAAATTGAATATTCATTTGCACTATGGCTTGGTAGTTTACTAACGAGTTAACAAAAATTCTGCTTTTTGTATCTAAGAATACAACAATATTTTAAATATTTACAAATAAAATATTAAATTGGAGTTTTAACTGGAGCCTCACCAGTTGCCTAGCATTTGAAGATTGTTAAATACTAATTGTTTGTTGTGAAATCTAACCCAGGCTGCATGGTTGGTTTTCGTAGTTTTCTAGGTTTTCTTTACAAAGGTTCTCTATGAAAGCATCTTAACCAAACAGCTCTCATGTTCTTTCTATGTTCAAATAACCAACTAACCTAGTTTAAGTGCGATTTCCAAGTGAAGTTACTAGCAAAACCCGAATACTCATTAAAAATGAGGTAGCTTTCCAATAGGGAGTAACATGAAAGTTACAGCGCCAATAATTGAACTGCTGTTATGGTACGCTGTTTCTAAACTTAGATGGTATTCCTTAATTAAACAGAATTGATTTGTAACTTCCACTAGAGCTGACGGTAAGAATTGAAGTGCAAATAAATAATATCGTGTGCAATCTTGATTAATATAAAGTTAGAAATATTTGCATTCAGACAGAATGTTTTTTGAAATATTTGCAATTACTTTATAAGAAGGATTAATTAATAACCGTAAAAATTACTTATTATATTACTGATGATTAGCATTCAGTTCTTGACAATTACATTCTAAATTAGAATTTTAAGGATATAATGAAAATACGATATGCATAAAGATACGTTTTAGGATAAAAAATTAGTTTATTTTTTACGTTTAAAAACTTCTTAAATTCATTTAATAAACATGGCCTCCCCATTGTTAATTGAATGAAGGATGTTGAGTGTCGTTTATATAATTATTCTTACTTGTCCATAGAACCTGCTGACTTATCCAGACATTAGGTAGCTGCAGATTATTTCTACATAACCATTGAACTTCCATTAATTCAGTCTCTAGAGGGTTGTATGTTTATATCATAATTTGACTTTTATAAAAATGATTATTCTAAATCTTATGTTTTTATAAAAATATACTGTGCTTTAAAAATATGGATAATAGTATCAGCTGCTCTTTCAGCCACTTCATAAGCAACAGCTTGTTTATAAATAAATTATGCAGTTAATGTCATAAAATATTTTCATAAATTTCAAATAAACATCAATCGAAAGTTCAAATCAATCGAAAGAAATAAACATCAATCGATTTAGACAATTCAATTTAAATGAAGTTAAGTAAAGTAGCAGACGATAAAACGCCGAAGATAAAAATTTGCTCTTACAAATATTTTTTTTAAAAAAGGAAAAAAAGAGAGAAATTTAAAAAAAATAGTTAAAAATTTGAATAATATCATCTATAATTTTTAAAAAACAGCTTTTCATATAGTATTAATAAATAATTATTACGCATCATTGAGGGAAAAAATTTAATATAATTAATTCTCCATAAAATTTTATTTGAAATTGAAGGTTAAAAATAGCTGTGGCAATTCATTGTAACAAAAATCCATAAACCACATTTGGCATTATTATCGCTCAAAAAAAAAAAAAGATGCCAAAATTCAAAACGCAAAAATAAGTAAATTCGTGTATATCTTAGAAAATTTTGAATAAAAAAGTCTAATTTTTTGCAGGTATGCTAAAAAATACACCTACTTTAAGATGAGGGTAAAAATTTTATATGTTATAATTCAAAAATTTTTTTCGAAAAATTTATAAAAATTATTTTAAAATAGAAATTTAAAAAATAAAACACAAAAAAAATTGGTAAATTTTATTTAAAATGAACCTAATTTTTGAAATGTGAAAGGAAAATTCAAAAACGTTTAATAAAAAAAGAGAAAGTAATAAATATTTGCCAAATTCAATTAACATTGAGGAGCTAAAATTTTGAGAGCGAATATTTTAAAAACTACTTGTACAATTTTTACAAAACTTGGCATTCTGGCATAATTTGAGTCGTAGAATCGAAATATGGAAAAAAATTGGTATGTTATTTCAGAAAAAGTCCGATTTTGTGTTAAAATACCTATGTTAGAATAGTGCTATATATAAATCTAATATATATCGTTTGTGCTTTCGAGACATGAAAAACGCAGTTTGAATTTTGTCAATCGGCCCAGTAGAACGGGAGATATAGCGCTGTTCCCAACCCCCCCTTTTTTTAAGCAGTGTACATGCTATCAGAAAAACTACACTAAGTTAATATATCAGAGTGACATATGCCATCATTAATCAGTCATAAAGTTTGAACTTAGGATTAATCGACTTTATGATTGGCTTTAATTTCAAATAAAAAAGGCTCAATATATTTTGGGAGAAAATGTATTTCTGAAGAAGATTCTCTTTTTCAAAAGGAAAAAAAAAAAAAAAAAAAAAAAATTTGAAATTATCACCAAAGACTGAACTTTATTAGTTAGTACAGATCAAAATTCTTTCAAGATACTAGAATTAACTTCTAAATATAAATCAAGAAAGAGGATTATTCAATAACTGAACAGTATTATTACAGAACAATCTTAAATACTATTTACCGTCTGCCTTCTCTCTCTGCAGCCCGACGAAGTTTAACTTCATCATTGCAAATATTTTTTTCAAACAAAAATTCAGCACTAACTCCTTTTTGAATTTCACCTGAAAAATAAAAAAGCAGGTATTGACTATTGATCTTTAAAAATAAATGCAATCAATTTTTTATTTTTTTTAAATTTCAGAGCAAATATTTATTAATGACAGAGCATATACATGATGTATACAAATTAATAACAATATTTATTATTAAACTTATCTGCAAGCAGCTACAAAAACCAGAAGGTGGAAAATGTTTTAAACTCTCCTTCCTAGTGCCCTGCAATTTTATATCAGTTTCATTTGATTTTGACAACTGTAACAAATACTTGAGATATTTATTGGTAATCATTTTAGAAACTGAACAGATAATTACGACAATTTTATTTTTCAAATAAATTTTACTACAATGATATAATGAATGAAAAATCTTTACCATTTGCTTTCAGTTTTTGAAAATAATCTAAGGAAAGAAAAGGCTAATATAAAATGAACTTTAAGATGCAGAATATTGAAACATGAAGATTCTTTAAGAAACTTCCATAAAATAATAATAATAAAAAAAACTTGAATGGAAATGAAAAGAAAACATTAATTTATCCAGGATATGAACCTTTCTTCAGTTTATTAATATGTTTATTAAAAAGGGATAAAAAAAAAGTCAATATTTTAAACTTGGTCTTTTTTGGCACTGATATAAAATGAAAAGTTTAATATATTTGAAGAGGAAGATAAAAATCTATTCCTTACTGGCTGAAATATTTAATGCAAGTGTATTGGCTTACTTACTGGAAATACATACTGAGTCTAAAAAAGTATAAGTATTTAGTCAGAGGACTTCAATGATGTAATGTTTTATATAAAGTGCAAATACAGTAGAGTCCCGCAAACTCGACATAATATGGACTGACAGACTGTTGAGTTTTATGGAATAAGGGGTAGCTTTTTCAGAACTCTTAAAATTTAACCCTCTCACATCCAACACCTAAATCCATGGTAGTTTTGTTAACACTTTCCCTTTTGTCCAGTCTCTTTAAGGCACCTAGTTGCATTTCTATTGTCATATTAATTTGTTTTTTCCTTTTCAAACGATATTTTCACTTCACAGAATATCAAAAGTTCCCAAAAACATGTAACATTTATACACCTGGATATGAACTGAGGAATAATACCTGCAATGAACTGGCACGAGTTTAGTTTGCAATAAGATGTAGTCACAAAACTTCAGACAAGTCTCCTAACATTTTGCAAGAATAGAAAGGAACACGAGAATGTGAGCCCAAGGCCAGCCGCTAACTGACTTTCTTCATATCCTCGAAAGAAGCAAAAGCATTGCCAAGTATTACAACATATATTGAAATTTGTTAGGCAGTTCCAAAAATTAATGGTACAATGCAAAAACGGCAAAAATTACAGAAAACAAGCACTCAAATCTTTGAACAGAACAGGAAACACATATGCATAAATAATAATTATATGTACTGTACATAATATTTGCTCTGTTTGGCCTAGAGATATTCTAAAAGAGTTCCTAAAAAGTTGTTGAGTTATACGGAATGTCCAGATATTGGGAGTTGAGTTTGCGGGATTCTACTGTGTTGCCAAAAACCTTAAACCTATTACATATCCTCATGTTTTATTACCATTACTTCAAAAACAGTTATCCAAATAAAACATTTTTTCAACTAGCAGCTTTGATCCAGAATTCCACCAAAAATAAGGTGCAAGCTGTTACATGATTTGTCACTGGAAGAGGTGAATACTCGGTGAAAATTCACTGATAAATTTATGCCTTCAGAATGTGAAGAAGTAATGATGTAAATTCATAAGGCAGAACAAATATTCATAACACACAAGAAGCAGTAAACTGTGTTTGATCTTTGACAACCTTCTTTAGAAAACTGAAAAGGAAATTATTGCTAATCTGTCTGAAACAATTAAAGATTTGTATAAAAAATCTTTTCCCAAATCTTGAAGACCTTGATTTATGGAGCTGTAATAAGATGGTGATTTATGGAGCTGTCTGAGGATAGCCACCATGGATGAAGGTTACATGCCTGATGTGCTCCCAACTACCCAGCAAAATTCTAGACTTTTGTTCTAAAAACAATATGGATATTTTGTTAAAAGCTGGTGATGTCTGTTATAATATGTAGGCAGATATCTCCCCTGCTGATTCTGGCAACTGATCAAAGATGATTATAAAGTTCTACGAACCCAAGCAGAAGTTCAAGGCAATTCAATGACAGAAGGCATTCATGAAATGTGCTTTGATGCCACTTGATGCTATAAAATATTGCCAGCTTGAACAGTCATATATGTTGCTCTTTTATCAGATTAACAAAAGAGCAAATACTCACAAAATTTCCATCTTCCCCTAACCACAGCTGATTTCTTGAAGATGGTTCAAAATGAAAAAATATCTAAATTCAATAACTTAAAAAGTTCTTTGCCTTGAGAGGTTTAAGAAACCTCTAACTTTAGGAAAACCACCTAACTCTCTGAACAAGTGCAAAGGCCATATAATCAATGCTGAGATTACATCACACAAGGACATCAGCTTCACATAAGGAAACAAAACTGTTTTAACTACTAAAGATAATATATGTGTTAAAAATACTGAAAATTTAAATGTTAAAAATAGTAGTAGCAATGATGTAGCCATAAAACCAAATGCAGATAATATTGTGTATAAGAATAAATATGAGACAATCAAAGAGTCACTCATCAGTGGTGGATACATTGTTGAGTGATCCACATTTTCGAGTCACACAGCAGACTCCATTTCCCATAGAAACTACGATGAACAGTGAGGAACCAAGTGAAGTTCCAAGTGGGTGAGGAACATCCCTCCCTCTACAAGAAACCTCAAACATTTCAGCTATTCATCTGAAAATTAGCAAGCAGTGGAAAACACAGATAAGTTTTCTAAGAAAGATTGTTCCTAATATAAGAGTAGACTCACTGGACCTTATCTAAAATTCTTTGTTCAAAATGAACTAGAGTTCAGGGAGGTTACCTGCTGGATAAAGCAAGCGAACACCCAGTATAAGACTCAATTTAAAGCAAGACCAGCTAGTCAAAATTGTAACCAGAGGCCTCCTTGTTTAGACAGACCTAGAGGATATAAAAGATGAAGTAGAATCCATAAGATTTATGCATAGGTGCATTTGATTGACTACACCACACACCAAGAGCTGATACCACTTTTTTATATGTAAGTCATTCCACATCCCTTCATCAACCATCTGTATGTTGTCGATGATATGTTTGGCACAGAGGTTAGCACTGAAAGTTATTGAGACTGGAAGAGCCTTACTCAGTTCTTTAGGTGCCAGGGTTTCTTCTACTTTTTGGAAGCTTACACTTTAAATATTCCTTATGTGAGATGCTCTGGAATCCACTGGGCATGAAAATGCACCAGAGGGCCTGATCAACATGCTACTTACTGTAAGTGTGAAGTGGAACATGCGGTCAGTTACAAATCATGACCTTGTTACCCAGGTAACAAGCAGAATTGCCAAAACACTCCAGTGCCTAAGGATAGGGCTACTGCTTCAGCAGCCTTTGGTTAGGCATCTTCAAAAACCCCAGCAAATGCCACACGACCACACGCACGTACTCGAGCCAAATTATAGTAGTGAAACAGTAGTATGAGAACATAAAAGTTTAAATGCATATATTTATTTAAGTAGTGTAGATTGCAAACATAGAATACAAGCGTAAAAGAGGCACGTGCCACATGGGCCACATTAAATAGGACATTCCTCATCTAGCACTTACCTTAGAAAAATTGCAATGGAGGAGTTCTATTTCTCACACTGTATTTCTCTCCTCAACCCCCTCCCCAACCTCACCAACATAAATGGAATTTTTGCTCACAGTTACAGTTCAGACTTTCACTTAGCACAGCACTGCAAATTTTAATTGATATATTAACTAACTTGCAATTTGAATTTATTATATATACATATTTTTTAATTATCAAAGGTACATTACTAATGTTATGTATCATCCCCTTAAACATTATTACACAGCATCTAAAAATTCTTTTACTATTTGCTGAAATTTCATGGTAAATATATAAATTTAAAATCATCTTTCTTTTGTCACGTTTAGATCATAAAATTTTCATTCCATCATCATTTTGAATTTGCACAAGGGTTAAAAAATCTGTCGAAACGATGACGTGTAATGATGTTTCAGATTTGGCTACGACATATATTTTTTTATATATTTATAATTTCTTTTATTTTAAAATTATAAATTTTTTTTCCTTCATAATTTTGCTTAAAACTGAACCTGCTACTCTTACATTACTACAAGATCAGATAATTTATGTGGTTAATGACTAGTACAGTCACTAACCACATAAATTCAAAATTTATCTTATTTCTTGTTACTTACTATTTATCTATGAATTCAATGTGCTGGTAATCAATCGTTATTAATCTCAAATCTGTGCTAACTAGTAAGCTAAACTATAATTTTGGTTTGCATTTATGACGTATAAAAGTTAATAAGGATACATAGCTTCTATTGTGGGTTTTTAAAAATACATGAAGAGTTATAAAAAATTGTTTCTTATTAACAAAGATATATAATCCTGTTAACGTAGTGAATGATGTATAAGAATTCACAAGTAATATGAAAGACAGTAGCCATAAGAATTTAAAAAGAACATGCAAGTGACACTGTAAGAAAATTACTTTATATAACTGCCATTATCTGAATTAGAAGAATTAATTTATAAGATAATAATAAGTAACTAGGGGAAATTCATATTTTATATACATATTTTATCAATGCCCAACTTATTTAAATCTTTAAACATGTTTATAAATGCCTCAAGTTTTATTCAATTAATGCAAAAATGTTTAATTTACACTGACTTCATGATATATTAAAAATATTCATACCCAAATCACAGCTTAACCCTTTTGACTCAACTTTTGCACGATTAAAATTTAACTATGAAAAGTAGTTTAATTTAATGTTGACATTCTAAAAGAAGTGTAATATGTGTTTAAACTTTTTAACTTCTGGGAAATCTCCTGGGACAACATGTTCCCGATCGTATTGCCAACCGAGACTATTTGTCCTAATCGTCTAGGATATTACCCTTTCTCAGAAAACAAAACTAAAATTTGTGGGAATATATAATGTGAATATTACAAAATGTAAACTCTGCCACATGCATCAGTTCATATACAACAAAAATTTTCAAATATATGTTTCATAAACATAAATATAATATATCAGCATGTAGTAATTTGATCACCCGATGGGACATATTAAGCCACTGTTCAATATGATTGAGACAAAATATCCCACGAAAGGAATTTATTAAAAATTTCTTAAATCTGACATTAAAAAAGTTAAATTACTTCTTAATAAGAACAATAAGAACTATTTCAGACTAAACATGCCTTAAATATAATTGTATTTACTGTAAAATTAAAAAAAAAAAAAAAAAAAAAAAAAAAAAAAAATAGACAAATCGAAATTTAAGTCATTTGCATACTCAAAAACATATGTGCACCATTTGCAATTTAAAAGTGTTGCCAGGTTTCTTTTAGTCATATATTTGTTCCCTAATTTCTTAAAAACACTAAAAACCCATTTACCCAATAGGCCATGAAATCTAATCTCTGGGACGTATGTGCCCATTAGGACTGAAGGGATTAAATTGTGGTGATGCACAGCAGAGTCCAGCTCCAGCACTTCTCAATTTCTGATATAAATCAAAATCTGGCACTTTATGCAACTGAACCACATTTTTGGCAAAAAATTCTTTTGATCTCTTAACATTTTATTTTAATAATTAGAAAGCCTTAAAAACTGATTCTAATTTTCAAATGCATGCTTGTCAACAACTGAACCTTTGGATGGATATTGAGACTTTTAAGGAAAGAAAAGTTTCAGTTTGCATGTCACAGACCTCCAAAAAAAGCAATGAATTTATGACAGGGAGTAAAATTTTTGTTTCCAAAAGTACCAGAAAAAATAACCCTGGTTGTGCTTGTCCAACACTAGTAATTTGTGCCAGAAAAAAAGCATCTGCAGACAAGTGCAGGAAAAAATTGTAATTTTTACAGAAACTAATGTTTTTTTCTCGGATGGATCAAGCCTCAGATTTAAGAGAAAATACTTTTCTCCTGTCACATTCACATTCTGTTTGACAGTAAAATTATCTAGTGGCAGCTAATGCAGGAAATTGTGGTCAGAAAAGTTTTGGACTCTTCTTTGTCCATCAAAATTTCCATCCATAGTCTCATGCTGTTACTAGCATTCTCTCTGTTCTTATTAGCAAGGCATCAACCATTTTATCTTTTTTCATTGTTGAGCTGGAAAAAGAGTGACATTAATAGTACATTTTACTTTATAATTAGGGCTTAAATTCAGCTAGAGCTCCAAATATGACTAGGTCTACTATTTTACTTTATTATTTAACAACTTATCATTAGTTTAAATTAACAAATTTTTATTAAATTTTTATTTATGTCTTTATGTTTTATTGTATTTTAACTTAATTTTTTTATTTTTAATTACTTTGTTAGATATTAGTCCAAAGGGGATTTGTCCTTGAAGGACTATTGTTTTGTGATTTTGCGTCAGAACACTATAAATGGAGTATCACTTTTCAAATCATTGCCACCAAATACTATCGCCCTGTATTATATTTGAAGAAATTAAATAATGAAGAATATGCATTGATGTATGCATGTGTCTCTCACTGAGATAAAACAACGGTACCCACCGCCATCCAATTTTGAATGATGTAATCCTACTGTAAATATGGGCATCTGAAAGCCCAAATTCGAAATTTGGAATTTGTTTTATTATCAATTTCATATTTTATAGAAAGTGTTAACGAAATTTTTGATTAACACACTCAATGATGTAAAAGCAAACAATAGAAACACTCTATGGAGGGGGAAAAACCTTTTTATCTCCAGTGTGCGGAACTATGTATTAGAAATTCTCAAGATATGCTCATTTTAAAATTATTTTGCAACATTGCTGTTGAACTGAATTTTATGGTTTATGTGCAAAGAACATGATATTTAATAAATAAAGGTAACACACAAAAAACGTTAAAAAAGCCCCTTTGGACGTAATGTAAAATCTAAAACCTTTCTTTTATATTTTATTTTATTTATTTAATTTTGTCATACATCTTTGTTAATACATATTTTTTTATCCTCTTTTATGGTGGCTCTCTACAGGGGTCCGGTACTTCAAATTTTAGAAGTCAAGCTCTGACCCAAAGTAATTAATGCGTTACAAACATAAATTCTATAAACTCAAGCAAAGCACTTTATCATTCTGATACTGCACTGTCAATATAAGGTTAAGCAGTTCATGTTTTATTCAGAATAAAAAACCAAAATTTTTCTCCCGACTGAGAAGAAAGAGCATTTCTTGAATTGAACTATATTATTTGACGACAGTGAAGCTAACTAGGCAGCTTATCTATGAGAACAGTAGCCTTCATAGAAAGCTTTTAGAGGCAAACTATCTGATATATTATGAGACAAACCTGAAAACCTCTTTAAATTAACTTGTTCAGGTATACAGCCTAGGATGAGCTATAAATATTTCATGTCTTTATTCATTTGATCATGATTCAGCTATTTTGTTTAACAAAATGCACAGATCAAATTTAGCATCAAATGTTAAAATAGAATATGCCAAATCATAAAGCCAAATAAAAGTGAAATATTGTTAATTATTAATATTCAAGTTAGAATATAATTTTCATATATATTAACAATATTCTAAAATTAAGGATTTTTTTGCTTACTTGACAGTACAGAGAATTCATCAGACTGGTCACGAACATCTTGTTGCCTACGAAAAATCAATTTTTCAGCTCTTGATTTGTATAAGTCCATCATTCTGCCATCCAGTAATTCAATATGAGCAACCTAAATTTTTGAAGGAAGCCAAAACAATTAGTGTGGAAACAAGATTAACACTGCAGTTACTTTTGATATCAAATAATAAACATTTTATTACGTTGGGCAGTAGCCATTTTTTAGGCTTTTGCCATTACTAAGGCTGAAAGCAGTGGTCATTTCATTATGGAGGCACCTATTAGGCAGCCACCATTACCTCCTATGAAGAGATAGACAATTTACATCCATACCTTCTCTGGAATTTGAACATGGGCCCTTTGGTATCACAGTAGGCTTCCCTAACCACTTTACCGCTTGGGCGGCACATGCTATTATACTAATACTAATAATTTAAAAAGTAAATAATTAGCATTAGTTTAAAATAAAATAAACTAATACTGTCTTTATGTAAACATTTAATAAAACTGCTTAAAATAACTATCAGCTTTGAATTTTGAACATACAGCAATTTTCTAGAATAAGAAAACACTACAATGTATATGTAAACACAAGACCTATTTTCTCCACCTGTGAAACATTCTATAATTATTATACAAATATACACACTACTTATATACAGACAAAATATATATATATTAAATTAAAAATAAATGAATGATTTTTAACCAATTAAACAAACATAAAAATTAATCTACATAATTTATAAACTATACATTTGTAAATCATACAAAAGCGATTTAAAAAAGTAAAATAAATAAACACTGACTATATTCTAAAAAACATAAACAGCAAAATTTTGAACAGCAATATTGGAACTGTCCAAGAATAATAAAATAATTTCTAAGAATATATCAGTAAATGTTAAAATATTTTATTTTGTCAGTAAAAGCTGTTAAAAAAAAAAAGAGAGAGAGAGCATCTAGCCATTCCCTAAAATCAAATTATTTTCATCTCATGTAAAATTAAATGCATCTTCCCAAAATTTTTCTGCAATGAATCACATTTTGTTTATTTACATAACTACAATAATCATGCATATGTCAGATTAAAAATAACTTTTGTATTTGTTCAAATATTTTTTTCTTTTTTTTTAATTTTAAAGACTTTGCCTTTTTTCTGCAAACTATTCTGAAATGTTTCAAAATGCACATATCAAATGTGTTGCCGGTTTTCATTCATAACTAAGTGGCATAAGACTGTAAACCCACCTTCAAATCTAGACATTCAACCAAGTCTTTCACATACCCACTCATCTGCTGATAAAGTGAAAAATTTTGAGCTCTTTCTGGGCCTTCTTCTTCCAACTTTTTAATTAATTTATTTGTTTCAACGAACTCTTTTTGGCAAAGTTGAAGTTCTTGTTTGTGAGATTCATAAGAAGTTTTTAGAGCTGACAATCTGAAAATTGGTATCAGTACACATAATTACATATTACAAACAGTACATTATATACAGAACAGATATTGTAATAAAAGAAAACACATTCAATCATCAGAATTCATTATTTATTAGAATATTCCAACAGAACATACATGAGATCAGTTCATGAAAAATATAAAAGATTAGGTTAGGTTATTTGAATATAGCAAAGAGCATTATGGTTATTTGCCTATGGAAGCCTTTGTGAGGTGATTTTCTAAGGGTAATAAGGTAACTGGCCCATATTTATGCTACATATGTGGAAATCTATGAAAACCAACCATGCAGACAGATTGTTCACCTGGGTTTGAACCCTAATCAAATGACAAGTACTCAGCTGTCTTAACCACTCAGTTAGTGGTGTATAGAGAAATATAAATTACAGATGAAAAAAATTAATACGGATAAGCACTGTTTATATGTTTCTCGTTTATACGTCTTTTACATTTATATGTCATTTCATCTTGGTCCAGATTCACTCCTGATTATTGTAATAGAAAAATATTTCTTTTATACACCACATAACTTTGGTTACTCATTGCTTTTGTTTGGCTTACTGCACTAGTTTTATATTTTGCAATCTACCGTTTAAGTATGTTTCCCAGAAATGGAAATAGGAAAAAGAAAGGCATGAGACTTCACAGTCTGGTACAGTTCATGAATAGAGAGGAAACTTGGAAGGGAAAATAGGTATGGTTTTTTTTTTTTTTTTTTTTTTTTTTTTTTTTTTCTGAACAAGATGCTGTGTTAAGTAAATTAGCTGGAGCAGAATTAACAGATACAAAATGTCACGAAAAGCAAAAAGCACTCTCGTTAAAAGATCTTCAAAGAGTTTGATGAGAATACTGATTTGATGAATGTTGAATTAGCAAAGAAATTGGATATTCCTGTGGTAACACTAAATACCTTTGTTTATGATGGAAAAAAAAAAAAGTTGAAGCAAGAGCAGAAATTTGTGGACAGACCACAAAAATTACATGTTCAAGATGGAAAATTTCCTGAGGTCAAAGCCATTTTGTTAAAATGTTTCATTCAGAGTCATGCATCCAATACTCCAGTGAATGGTCCCATGTTAATTGAGAAGTTAAAAGAAATAGCACTTCGTCTGAATACAAAGGAAGACTGTGTTTTAACTGGATGCCTGCATAAATTTAAACTGTGACATGGAATCTCATAAAACATAAATAAATGGAGAACAAAAAGCATTCCTGCTAATTTGGTTGAAGAGTAGTTATCCATCAAAATAGATGGATATGAACATGAGACATTTTTAGTATCGATGAAACTGCTCTTTTCTTTAAACTTATGCCTGTAAGAACCATAGCTTTCAAAGGCAATTATTGTCATAGAGCTAAGCAAAGTAAAGAATGTTTCACTTTGTGCAAATGCTGATGGTATAGTTTAAAAAAAAATTTAAAAAACCTTCAAACATGTTAAAACTCTGCAATTAGAATACAAAGCAACTAAAAAGCAAGAATGACTGCAGACATTTTTACAGAATTCCTTAAGAAAATAGACAAAATTATGATGACACAAAACCACAAAATTTTATTTTTTTGGATAAGTGTACCACCTGTCCTCAAACATCAGATTTCTTGCAAACATTTAAGCATCATTAAGGATTTGAAAATGTTCTAGGAGCAAAGATAGATTCAAATAGCTCTTCATAATAGAACTACAGGAAAAGCACAAAATTAAAATATTCTTGAGGCTATGAATATGATTTCACTTGCCTGGATGCAAGAAAAACCACAAACAATTAAAAATTGCTTTATTAAAGGGAGATTTTCAAAACCAGAGTCAAGTGAGAGTGATATCACATTTTATCATGAAAATGATGATAAAATTGTGATTATGGATAAAGAAGATTGGAAACTACTGAAATCAGACATTATGATTGCAGACTATGCAAACTATGATACCAGTGTTATGACAGACCTTATGCACAGTTGTTGAACTGATAGAAAACATTTTAGCAGATAAAAATTTAAGTAACCATATGAAAAAGAAAATAAATAAATAATCCCATCTTTTCAAAATGCTGTCTATTGTATTGACACCAATAGAAATTTCTTTGTGTGTACATGTGAGAAAACATTTCAAGAACTGAATTCAATTCATACAGCTTTCCTTAAAATTCAGAATCAAAAGACATGTCAGGTGGCAATTAAAGACTTTCTCTTTAAAAATAGTTTAAAATTTGTTTTAAAATATTCTTGGGGGAAAAAAAAAGGTCACTTATTCAAGATGTTAATTCAAGTAAAGGTATGCTTTTTTTCTTCAATTTTATGTAACTATGTACAGAAATTTGCATTCATTTAATTTTTTAAATGTTAAATTTATATTAATATCATTTTAAAAACATTAAATTATAAAAAATTCTTCAAATTGTTTAATTGCTTAAAATATCAATATTAATTATTTTTTTAAATATTAATTTTAAATTTCTTTGAATATATTTAATATTTTAAGTAAATCAAAAGTATCATAATAAAATTGTGTAATATCAGTAGTAGGTTAGAAACTAATATATGTGTGTTTCACACCATACATTAAAATTTTGGTTATACATCTTTCTCATTTATACATCATTTGTGAATGATCAATCGAACAATGTACTAACAGTACTCCATTATATATACACAATAATATAATGCTAATTAAAAAATGTGCACTTTTTTTCTTCTGAAATTCTTTCTAGCATATAACAGCAATGTAACTAATAATCATACTTCACACAATTCACAGAAACTTCAGTTTAGTGATAGAAAGCACTTTATCTTCTAATTTGATACCTTTATCAACACAGGAATTTAAAAAAATTGTATTCAAAAGTCAAGAATCTTATAGTGTTTGTAAATATTATTTAAAAAGTCATAATTTTACAGTATTAATGATTATGATAAAGCACATTGATTCAGTTATATGCACTTTTTTTAATAACAATGATATTTATATCAGTAAATCAAATTAATATTACAAAGTTATCTGAAAATAAATGCTTTTAAATGCATACAGCCTTGAATCATGTGGAAAGAGGGGGGGGGAGAAGAATTCAAGATACAGAAATTTTACAGAAATATGGTTCAATTGTAGATAAATTTTAGAGTAACAGTGCATATAAAGTTAATGACATGGAATACATGCTAATAAAAGCTAAATATCAAATTATTTAGTCAAAGATATACTAAAAACATAAGTAGCTACAATACACCTTAGTGAAAATAATTCCTTAATACAGTTCAGAGTCCATTTTAGTCTTACTAGGATTAGACAAGTCTGTCAAGCAGTAACTGAGGTGAATAATTTAAGACTTCTGGCTGTCTTTAAAGTTTTAAGTCATTCATTGCTCAACTTTAATTTGTGCTATTTCAGTCTAAGTTTATTACCAAAATATAAGGCCTTCTGCTCCAACAATATCTACTAACTGAAATTCTTTCATTACTGCATTGTTCAAACTACATCTGTACACAGTCTTCTACGTCTGAATGATCCAATTTTCTTAACTTTTTTCATGCTGTCATCAAAATTTCTTTCAGTTTTTTAAAAAATCTTTATTATAGTCATAAAAATAATTGAAGGCATCCCGAATTTTTGAAGCAAATTATTATTATTTTTTTTTCCTTTGCCAAAGAATTTCCATCTATAAATTTTTTAATTTCATCTTTTTGTTCTAGTAGAACCACAGTTATTTTTCTTCTTATTGTTGCCATACTTTTCAAGATTATCATTTACATGACTTGGAAATGTACAAATGTTTATTGAACTTTCTGACTTGATAAGTTAGACAATGACCTAAGATAATTGACTTAGATAAGACAATGATCTAAGCTATTAACTGTTCCGGGTCATTCGTTAACAGCCTTGGAATCAATAGTCAGCTGGGTCATTATCGCCAAGACTAAAAGTGTATCACAAAAAATTATACCTAATCATGCTAGTTGTACCAATGTCCAGTTCCAGCTTGAAAAATTTTGGAAATTAGAAGAAATTTCAGAAATAAACCCTTACAGAGAGGAAGAAATTGATTGTGAAAATCATTTCAAGCAGAATATTTCTCGTGACTCAACAAGTAGATTTGTTGTTAAGTTTCCATTTCGTAGATCTGGCAATGAACTTGGGTCATCTAGGGTTGATGTTGTACATCGTTTACAAAGCACTGAACGTCAATTTATTATGAATAAATCTCTTTACAGTCAATATCATAAATTTATGGAGGACTTGGTCACATGGAATTGATTCCAGAAAATGAAATTGATGTTCCAGCTAATTCTAGTCTTTACCTTCCATACCATTCAGTTCCGGATAAAAATGGTGATAAATTTCGAGTCATATTCGATGGTTCTGCAAAATCTTCTAGCAGTATTTCTCTTAATGAGAAATTGATGGCTGGTCCACAGTTACAGACTGATCTGACATTAATTATTCGCTTCAGAATTCACAGAATAGCTATAACTGCGGACATAGAGAAAATGTACAGACAAATTATACTACAACAGGGGTCGCCAAACTTTTTTGATCATCGCCCCCTATATAATTTTTTGAAATCTCCATAGACCCCCACAAAGGTAATTTTCAGGTAATTAAAATAAAACCATATATTAGTCTAAATATTTAATAAATCAGAAACAGTAAGTAAAGTAGCTACAGATTTTTTACTTCTTAATGAGATGAGTGTGCCTGGTGTTTCTTGGCAAGGTTCGCTATATTGGGTTCGAAATTAGTCAATTTTAACACCGTAAATCCCCTCGAAGCTCCACATTTAATTTATTTCTGTTTTTAGTTAAAATTGAATTAACGTGACTGAAACTGGCTTCAACCATATACGAACTTGGAAACGCCAGCATAAATGGCTGAGCCATTTTGTAAAGTTTCACATATTTTTGCTTTATATTTATATTAGTCCAAGATTTATGTACTGTCAAATTTTTAATAAGCATTTTTGCTTCAAGATCGGACAATAGTTCAGCAAGCTCATC